TTTTTTTTTGCTGTAATGTCTAGCAACCAACGAGTTGAAAGTAATCATGAATTCTTTAAGCGATACCTTGATAAGAAATGCTCATTAAATGATTTTTCACTCGTTTTAGTAGGGTTGTTGCGCATCAAGAATTAATGGCTACTCATGTTGATCTTAATGAAAAGCCGAGGGTCAACACGTCATTTGCAATGGAGAAGCAGATGGCTGAGATCTATACGAAAATGATGTTTTTGTTGTTCCAGAAAGAGTTTGAAAAAGGTGCATTCTATAAATGTAAAGTGATCTCAAGTTCCATTGATTGTCGAATTTATGAGGTTTGGCGGTTTGATATTGTAATGACTGCCCAACGTCGACGTCACTTGACATATGATGTCTCAAATGAATTTGTAAGTTGCAGCTGCAAACACTTTGAGTTTGAAGGGTATCCTTTTCGGCACATGTTATGTTGGATGAGAGTAGAACAGGTGATGTTACTTCCAAAAGAGTATGTTAAAGAAAGGTGGACGAAAAATGCAAAGAGTACCCTTCTTTATGACACGCCGCATGATTTTTTAGAAAATAAGTCATTACAAGGTAGACCTGGGGCGTTGATGCACATGGCATGAGAGATCGTTGATGATGCGTCATTGACTGAAGCACGAAGCAAATTTTTAACGGAAAAACATAAAATTTTGAAACACGAGGTAGTGCAAATTGATGAAGAAGAGTGCATAAATAAGCGCTCTCCTAAAAGCCAGAACATGGACGAGATGCTACTCATATGTGACCCTGAGCCCATACGAACTAAAAGTTGTGGAAAACGTCTAAAGTCAAGTAAAGAGAAAGTCATGTCAAAAAGTGCTCAAACTTGTAGCTCCTGCCATCAGAATGGCCATGACAAGCGAAAATGTCCGAATTACAATACACAGCTTGAAGATGCTCCATATCGTACAGACATGTCGAGCTTGCACAATTTTATCTAATTTAAGTTAGTATTTGGTATTTTAGTTGTTATCATAATTTTTTTTTGGTATTTTATTTGTTATCATATTTTAGTTGTTTTTAAATGATTCATAACTTCTAACTTGGAAATTTTGATGGTCTCAATTGTAACTATCAGTTTCAGCTTGCAGGTTACAGGTTGAAATATCCTAGTTTCTAATTACGAGACATCACGTGTCTTATCATGTTTTAACTACTTCGTTGTTCATTGATGGACAATCTTACCTGAATGTATTCACATTTACTCTTCTCATCATTTTTTAGATATATTAGTAAATTAAATATGATTTTGCAGGACCTATTGTATTATTCATTGTGTTGAAGATTTGCCTCCAAATATAGGTGTCTTATGGTTAGTGGCTAGTGATTATGTAGTGTTTTAGATGTGGATTTTGTGCTACTTGCCAGTTTGTTTATTGGTAAACTTTCAGTAATACATATGCTTCTTTATTTCAGGCACTACTTGGTGGAAGTGTTTGATTTCTTCAGGATTTTATTCCTGATAGTTTTCCATGTGAACATTCTATTTATGAGTTTGAATCTAGCTTTAAGGATAAATCATGAGCCTTCTTTTTAATGTGAGCAGTAGTCTTTAGCTTTCTCTGTTAGTGATTAGAGTGAGTTTATTGGTTCGAAATTCTATGTTCATTCAGATACAATTTCGAGTTTTTCTGTAGGTTAAAGTGAGTGTACTTTTCTGTAAGACTGTTTATGTTCATTCGGATGTGTGTATTTTATTGGTTGTCAGATTGTCTGTAAGAGTGAGTGTATTTTTCATGTGAGTAGTATAGTCGTCCACTCATGTTCATTGGATAATGGTAAGTTTTGGATGGCTTGCATGAGCTGTGTTGATCTTGTAAGTGATTGACATCGTCGCCGAAGAAAATTTGGCACTCCCAGGATGTCAGGTCACTCTGGTCCGAAGGGATATGCATACGTTGAGTTCCTTGAAACCAAAGCCTTTGAGCTTCATGGACGCCAACTGAAGGTATCTACCAAGAGGACCAATGTTCTTGGCATGGAACAGTTTCGACCAATGTTACCCTTTTTTGTCGTTTATCAGTTAATGTGGAGGATTTTAAAGTTGTTCTTATAAACAGTGACTTTCATTGTTTATCAGTTGTGGAGGATATTAATATTTTCTTATAAACAGTGACCAACTCTTTTTCTGTTGTAATAAGTTATAACAGAAGATCATGTAAGGGTTCAACAAATACTTTTTTGATACTTGAAGAAAATATTACACTTTTTTGTCTTTCCTGAAGCAAATGTAGTATGTTAACACAAAGGTCAGTAAGTGAGATCTCCAATCAAGCGTTAGACTTCAAGCAATAATTAACTGGAAAAGTTCTTGCAATATTCACAACCATTTTCTAACATCAACAACATCAGCCTAAATATCGAGAACCAAAATTTTTTGACAAATTAATCTAAACTCATTATAATGACGCAGAAGTAGAATAAAAATTTGATAAACAAACATCTGGTTTGGAGTTTCACAAAATGCAGTCTCACTATTACAATTTATACATCCTGTATACAATAACTTTATGCACCATCAATCATCTCATTGTATTTTCCAGATGAATTGCTCACAAACTTGCTAACATACATATTGTACTTGGTGAAAATATCAGCACTACCATCTTTCAGCAGCCAAGTAACCTTAACACTGAAAAGATTGGACCCACCAGGCCCGGCAGCCCAACTCACAAACTAACCACCAATAAGCCAAGATGATGACGGTGGGAATTTCGTACTCCCTTGAGATTTAGTCATCTTAATATCAAAAACTGACCACCAATGAGCCCTGCAAACCATTTTTCTTTTTTTTCTGTTGCTAAAAAGAGCAAATAACTTCTGTAACAA